GATGTCAAGATATTAAGAGCAATAAAGTGTAAAGAAGACAATTTAAGACTTTAAAATGACCTGAAGAAATTATCTGACTGGTCTAAAATTCGGTACTTGCTAACAAATGCTTCTAAGTACATATTGGTCACCAAGGTACAGATACATGAATGCTGAATGACAGTGAGCTACCTGTTTTCCAGACACAATGACTTAAGACTCATCGTTAGTCAAGACCTAAAATGTACTGCACACTACCGTGCGATAGCTTCCAAAGGTTTTAGAACCTTACGTTTTAATGTGTGTGGTCTTTGACCATGTCGATGCCAAAAATATTTCGACCTTGCATAAGGTATTTGTTCGACCTAAACTCAAGTACTACATACGAACGGCTAGTCTATGCCTAAAAAGAGACAGTGGGCTGTTAGATAAGGTTCTTTGAACCTTAAATAAACTGGTTCCCGGAATAGGAAATCTCCCTTATGATTCTCGACCAGATTAATTAAACCCATCTCCGTTACCATATAGAAGAACGAGAGGCGAATTGATCACTTGATATCTCTTCACTTTGCTTGTCTTCCAAAACGGAGACTTCAAGAGGACACTTCAAAATGTTTACAAATCCAAAACAAATTACTTGTCAGCTGACTATCAACTTTTCTATCGAGTCACCAACGAAAGTGATTAAGTAACTCAACACGTGGTTGAAAATTCATCTGTCTATGCTTTCGATATAAGGTTGGATCAACTAAAAAGAACCACCATTTTCAGGACTAACTAGGTCCATCTAACCTTCTCTCCTTTCCAAAGAGAAAACTCAACAATGCTGTTATTTTATCCAGATTCAGATTCGTAAAGTAAGGACAGAAGGCCTATGGCCTATGTTATTCCTTTTCTAGTATGCTTCTGTGAGTGTCCAGACTTCTCTTGGACGAGTCAATTGAGGGTGCGGACACCACTACTTCGGGCAGCAGGTTCCAAGTATTAATGACTCGGTGTGAGAACCTGTATGCCACGGGTATTTTGTTCGTTCTTGGCTTTTCTACTCGCCTGCTATGTCCTCTGAGATGTCCCGATCTAGTGGGAAGAAAAAGAGGGAGTAAGTTAGGTCCAAAATCATTTATCAGTATTCTGTACATCAAAATTAAATCTCCCCTTAATCTGCGATAGGACAGTGTGAAGAGATCTAGCTTTTCAAGCCGCTCTTTGTATGGTAAACCCCGGAGTTCTGGAATTGCACAGGTAGCTGCCCTCTGTACTTTTTCTAGGATATCCGAGTCACTTTTTAAACATGGGCTTGCAGACTGAACGCAGTTCTCAAGCTTAGTTCTCACTAAGGACGTGTATACTTTGTTGAACATGATAGTATCTAGCTTTGTCAATTTCCGTTTTGAAGCCCAGAGGGTTCGAAACCCCTTAGCTGCGACCTCCCGGCAATGGGTCGTCGTCTTAAGATCCTGACTGACTGTCACCTCCAGATCCTTATGAGACCGAACCACTGGTAATTGCACTTCCCCTATGTTATACCTATTATCATTTGAGTCCCCGAAGTGTATGTAGACACACTTTGCCGCGTTGATAGGCATCAGCCACTCTTTAGACCAGTTAATTATATAATTTAGGTCTGCTTGAGAAGCATCTGAGTCTGTGTCTCCAGTTATTACTCGCCAGATCTTTACATCGTCAGCGTATAATAACATTGAATACTGTACTTTACTTGGAAGATCACTGACATACATTATAAAAAATAAAGGACCTAGGACGGAACCGTGAGGTACTCCACTAAGTACTAGTCTCCATATGGAGCACTTGGAATTTATTCTTACCTTCTGTCTACAACCTACTAGGAAATCCTTAATCCATTTTAAGAGAGGTCTAGCAATACCAAGGTTTTCCAACTTCAATAAGAGTCTATTTGTTGGCACCTTGTCAGAAGCCTTACTGAAGTCTATGTAGACAACATCCACTGAGTTTCGGTTGTCTAGCGCCTTTATCCAGAATTCCCCTGCTAAAAGGAGGTTTGTTGTACAGGATAGACCCTTTCTAAAACCATGTTGTTCTATGTTTAACAAGTTATTTGTTTCAATAAATTTCATTATTGTCCTTTTGACTATTCTTTCCAATATTTTAACTAAAACGCTGGTGAGGCTTACAGGTCTGTAGTTCTATGGAAGTTGTCTTGGTCCTGTTTTATGTATGGGAGTGACGATTGCGTCCTTCCAGTCCATAGGTAATACACCTTGATTAAGTGACATATTGAATATCACAGTCAGTGGGGCCGCGATATATTGTGCAATATGTCTCAATATTTTAGGGTGTAGTTCATCTGGTCCTGTTGACTTTTCCATGTTTAAGGTGCTAAGAACCTTAAGCACATCGTCTTGGTCAAAGTCCGCGGTGAGCAGGTGGTCTATTGACTCTTTATTTCGGTCTGGTTCTTTGTCCAAAGGAGGTTCCTGAGTGAAAACTGCCCCAAAGTAGTCAGCCATAGTCTCTGCTTTGTCCTAATCTTCCTCTATCATTTCAGATTCACTACCTTCTTTAATTAGATTTGGAATCTAATGATGCATCCTTGTTCTGCAGTTTATGTATGAGAATATTCTCTTGGGCTGCTTGAGTGCTGATTGTGCCAATTGCATTTCATACTTTCTTTGAGCTTCTCGAATTTTTGTTATACACTTGTTTCTTACCGATCTACATTGTTCCATCATACCTGCTGTGCCAAGGTGGATGGCGACATCCCAACATTTCTTCTGTTGTCTTAGTAAACGTCGAATATCCCTGCCTATCCAGGGATGTCGGTGTTTCTTCTTCTTTGGGACTGTCCATGGTATGTATGGTTGAGTTACCCGGTTGTATAACTGCCTGAAATGCGTCCACGCCTCTTGTACTGATGCTCTTGAGTCAATTTCCCAGTTTTCAGCTGATGCTGCGGAGTTGATGGCCTCCATATCTGCCTTCCATATGTTAGGACTCGCCGGCGCAACTGTTTGACAGGCAATCTCAGCCAGGAATTTGAATAAGATGATTGCATGGTCACTTTTCCCTAGCGGTGGGAGGAAAGTCATTTGACCAACGTCATCACCGTGTGTGAAGACTAAATCTAAAAGAGAGGAGTTTCTTAAGGCATATCTCATGGGAGTTCTAATATGTTGGTACAAAGCTAATGCAATCGATGTTTCTAACAGTTTGAAATCGAATGACGTTATCGATGACCCAACTTCTAAGTTTACCCAGTTTATATACGGCGCGTTAAAGTCGCCTACTACCAGGCTTTTACCCTTGTTACACCAGGACTTAAGTTTACTTAGGGGAAAATCATCTACCACGCATTCTGGACTGCGATATACTACAACTAATTCAATGTCTTGCCGTCTACATTTCAGACTACATCGCACCAATTCACATGTTCCTGAAACATGTGCCACTGTTTCAGCTACTCTTATAGTTAGGGTACTTTTCGTGTACAGGATAACCCCGCCTCCCCTACGATTTAATCTATCAGCCCTACTGGATAAAAACCCAGCTAAGTGAATTTGATTTTCTAATATTTCCGGAGTTAACCAAGTTTCTGAGACAGCAATAACATCCGGTTTCTCTTTATCCACCATTGACTTAAGCTCCGCCATTTTATTTAGTAGGCTGCGAGCATTTGTGTAGCACACCTTTAAGTCTGTGGAGAACTTTCCCTTACCACCCAGAGTGGTTTGGGGATCGTTTTGCTCCGAACTTTTACAATTTGAAAACCCTTAAGAATGAGGTTTCTTTCGCCGTTTCGGCGACGCTCATTTATTTCCACTTCTGCAGCTTGTCTCTTAATACGATCAGTTAGGCTGAGATCCTCCCGGACATATATTCCGGATCCAATCAGTTTGCGTGGGTTACCTAAAATCAGGTTTCTTTCTTCAACCGTGGCAAATTTTACCTTCAAGAGGCGGTTTTTCTGAGGGCTTTCAGAATCCACCTTTCGTCCTATTCTATAAAGCTTACAAATGCTAACTCCTGAAACTGTATCTGGGAGTAGTTTGTTTATTAAGGACTTAATTTGACTGAAGTCGTGTTCGAATCTAGCCTTTGGTTCCTTATCGGAAGATTTTCTTAACTTATGAAAAATGACTGACCTCTCAGAGAGATCTGTCTTGACACTCAGTGGAATTTTTGTTTCTGATACCGTCTCTTCCAACGACTTGCTAACCATCTGCAGTTTGCCTACAGCTTTTTTCTTCTCATTTCTCTTTCTCCGTGCTGGAGTCCATTTATCCTCACTCAGGACAGCCACACTGGGACTATTTGGAACGATGACAGTGTTATCCGGGTCTTCAATTTCCACTAAAGGTGTATGATTTCCAATGTCAATATTTAGCGGCATTTCACTCCTCGTTAATGTTAACGGTGTTTTTACTTTTCCATCAATCACAATCGGGTGTTTAACGTGTCCGGTAGCAGCACTTACTACACTGATACATTCTTCACTGTTAGTGCTCGTGGTGTCAGGACAACCACCATCGTTTTTCTTACAGGCCAGAGCCAATAGGCTCATAGCCTCCTGGATTAATAACTTTTTATTTGTACAGCAAAACATACAAAGCCAATGAGAGTTTGGCTTCGAGCATCTTTTGTATGCCGTAGGACTTAGACGGGTACACATCTTATGGTACCACTTTTTACATTCACCGCACTGCATTCCTTCCTCAAGGGGGAACAAGCAGTTCGGTTGTCCACATTTATAAGTCTTACTAACCATTGTAATTTGACTTAGAACTTTTAAAACACGCTATGATCACAACGTGAACACGAGTGTCAGTCAATGAGTAAGCAAGAAGGCACCACAAGACAAAGTTTAGAAAAAAATCTCAAACTATGACCAAAGTACTTTTAGTTAAAGTAGACCAAGAATGCTTTCTGTTTCCACTAGTACACAAAGCAATGATAATCACAACTAGTACAAAAATCACTCCCACTCAATATATAACATATGATGTGAAAGATAGAATCAAATTTCTCTTTATCGTGATAAAAATATGAGATTATCAGGATTTCTAATCAACAAGTAGAGTTTTAAATGAAACTTGTTTTAGTATTTTGTCAAATGCATTAGTAAACGCGGTATTACAGACTTGGGAAGGACAAATTAGGGAACAACGGCAGTGTGAGTCACACGAGATACTTTTGCGCTGCTTTATTATTTCTACATTGTGCACAGTCAAAATTAATCCTGGATATATTTTCAAAGCTACTTTCTGATTCCAAAACTCAATCAAAAGGATTTTTTGGGGGTACATGTCCCATGCCTTAGATATGGTTGGCAGATTGTTCTGCTTATGGTGAAAACATATTTAGGTGCTATACATTGACTGGGACTAATATATCGCCTATTCTGATGCACTGTTGTGAGTAGGTACCGACAATAGTGAAAGTCGTTAATTTTGAAAATCAAGAAGTTGTGGCTTGGTATTCGATAATCGATTTTTGAGGAGCAACTATGGCTTCAGCAAGTCTGGTCCCTGGTCTGGACAAATTTTTCAAGTTCTCCAAATCCATTTCTACGTATATGTTTTTCTTTGCAGAAAACAGAACTATATATATATATATTAATAGACGGCAACTTAGCGACGTTAATGTGGGAATACTTACTAAGGTCAGAAGATGGTTATAAATTTGTATGAAGAACTAGTTGGAACTTTGAGTTAGGAACTGAAGCAATGGTCTTCGTCACGAACCGACAGCAGCTATAATTAGAAAACTGCTGTTTTGATAATTGAGTTTCGCGCTAAATCCAAAAACCTGCTGTCTTTAGTTGTATTGTTTTGCCCACTAATTACAGTCTCACCGAACTTTATCCTTTGAAAGTGCTCAGCACTGGTTTAGTATGCATGTATAGTTGAAGAAATGTTTGAAAAAATCACAGCTTATGCTCCTCGAACCATATATATATATATAGGTTGCTCACGTTTGATTAAACTAGCGCTTAAATATTGTTAAGAATAGGCGTGTTACGGTGTACACCACTGCAACACATTCTCAAGAACAAATTAATGACTGTTTCAGACCCAAAACACCATAACAATTTGTTTTATCAATGACCGTTTTCGCTGTCTAGTCAGATATAAACTTTCACATTGTGTATTTATTTCTTAAGATATTTAAAATTGAAAAACATCTGTTGTGCCATCACGGTAATTTTGATGTGGCATGTTTGCAGAATTACTTGGAAAACATGTTCTTGGTGTAGACTGTTTTAATTACTTGTTTAGCCTTAATTCAATGCATAGTCAGAGGTGTTTGTGTGTCTAAGAAATACTCTTCACTGTAATCTGAAATCCTAACATCCCAACCTTACCTTCTTGCTTAACTACTAGTAGTTAACCCTAACCTTTTCTCGTTTACGGTAACAAATAATTTAACATGAAAACAATAATCAGGTCAAAGTTCGTCAAGATTTATTGCTTGTCACTACAAATCTCCATATAACTAAACATTTCTCACTATCTGATAAGTCAGTTGTCAGCAGTATACATTTGCCGTATTTCTTGCATTTCATTTCTACGATTAGTTGCTAAGGTATATTTTAAATCTGCAAGGTTTACGTCCTTACGACTACCATATCTCAAAAATTATCAATGCGCTATTAACAATACTGGAATTAAGACTAGATATAATGTGGTCGGTTGACATATGATCCCATTAAGTTAGATTTTCACCCTTCATACCAGCTACTGTTACTATCAATTAGCTCTAAAGAAATGTCATTGATCATGGAGCCTCTTCAACCGATATGATTTTTAATTTGAATACAAGGTTCGTTTGAACTCATAATGATTTTTAAGTACGTAATGTAGTTTAATCTGTAACGAAAATAAATTAAGTACATCTGTGTAAGTGACCGTATTACTTGATCATCTGTTAAAATATCCAGTTAGTGATACCAGCCTTAGTTTCTGTATGTCTCTGAAAAGATCTACATAATAAGATTCTTCTTTTATTTCTATTCTACAGACGTCAATAATACTGTTCTCGTGTAAGCTCATTAGATTCTGAGCTATGACTTCGCTTTTGGTTACTACCACAAGTGAAAAACAGGTTGATGCCGCAATTGTTTGGGATCCTTTGGGGGGAAACCCAGTCGCTAGTTTATCTGGTGATATGGCTTCAAAATCGTCTATCACCGGGTACTTCGGAGGTGTAGCTTGTGCAGCTGCCAGGAAACCTATTATACAGACTTGGAATTTTAATAGTGCTGTAATCTATTCTTTTGTTTAAATATATTTACTAGACCTCAGCGCACAAAAATATTTTGACGAAAGGATTAGTTAGTGCTTTTATGTTCACTCCCGATGGAAATTATATTATCATTGCATTTGATAGGGAAATTTATGTATACCAGGTAGGTTAACACATTAACTATAACTTTTGAAGACTGTGAGTGGATGCCTTATGGGTGTTTTAGAAGGGTCCCATTCTTCAAGAATATGTGAAATGAAGCTGTCCAAATGGAATTCAAACGGACCAGCGTTTCTTGTTTCCGCTGATATAGCCGGGTTTCTAGCTTGTTGGTCCTTGGGGAGTCTTATCAACGGACTAAACATGATGAGTACACAGAGTGCTACTGAAGTTGGGTTTCATTCAAATACCAATCTATCAAGTGCCAAACATCTTCCGCTCTGGTATGTTATTCAAGCAAGTACTAGTCATCCTGTATGCGCAATTATGGATGATATAGTTGTCGTGGGTGGATCACAAGGTCTTAAGGTAAGTTGGTATTTATCCCTTAATAACGCAGGAACTTATCCAAACAATGACGTGTTTCATTCGTCATCAGAAGTTTCATGTAGCTGTGCAACGGAGGGGAGAAAACGGTTTTATTAGTGTCCCATGAACACAATGATGCGTCAGGCGAGTCACAGAAATACCAGTGTTTTCAACCAAGATATTGACACCCATTTGTTGAGGAAGTTAACATTTGCTTACATAATCATCAACGTCAAAAGTATCACATTATTAGTGAGGTCAGCTCCATTGCGGACAAATTTTACTACTGCACTGTCGTTAGGAGTCATTTTTTTCGTAAAGCGTAATACTGGCTCTAGATTTGTTTGTTAGTTTGAATGTCGATTACGACTGACGTACGCAAAAAAACACTTGCTTACGAATTATGAAACCTCCGTTATTGACGAATTTATTTATTATTTATTTATTTTAACACACAGATATTGGTACAAGGAGGCACCAAATATATATGCGCCACACAAATCTCATTTAATTTGTGTATAGGCTGTGATACTGCTCGGGTGCCCAAACCGAAGCAGGTGGTTTTATTAGCGGACCACACCCGGAGCCTTTGACCTAAAGGTCTAGTCCACAAGGCAGTGGAGCATCGTAAGGAGATGCAGTCCCATGGTAGCCGGTGACCAACGATTGCTTCATACGCCATTTGTTCCCTCAGGATACTGGAGCCCATGTGCACCATTGGTTTGGGATCCGGTTAAAGCTCCAGACATTCGCTTTTCGTCCTCTCATTTTCGTAAACAACACCCCCGCCACGAGAAGGCAGTGAGTAGGATTTCGCTGGTAGGGGCTATATAGGTGTGGCCATGTGAGAGCATTTCGAGAGGGAGAGCGGACTCTCCCCACTCTCGGCGGTACCAGGGCATTTGGTGGCAAAAGAAATTTCAGTGGTTAGATCATGAGTCTGTTGAAGCTAGACCACCGTGGAAAACCTGAAAGCACTGGACGGCCGTTTCGTCCTATTATGGGACTCCTCAGCAGTGCGCATCCACGACCTCGCCCCCTGCGAGATTCGAACCCAGGACCTACTGGTTTCGCGCGCGAGCACTTAACCACTAGACCAGTGACGAATATAACTCAGAAGATTTTGCCTGTTTTGAGCATCCATTCAGCGTTACTTCTTTATTTTAAACACAAACGTTGGTACAAGGGGGCACCAGAATATATATACGCCTCACTCGATAATAGCAATCCTTCGGATACAACGATGATCAAGCACATAGTCGCCTAACGTCAACTCAAAGAGACTAGGTCTCACAAGCATAAAGCGAAACTGCTTCCACCTACGCGTCGTAAATCCGACCTTTTATAACCAGAATAACATCACGAAAGCGCCAAACATGACCTATACTGGCATAAGACACTATGGCTTTTACTATAGATGAATTAGCTTCAATACTCACGCCACCACCAGCACTTACACAATTACCCAAATACACGGACTTCTGAACTACTTCTTACTGCTCACTACAAGGAGTTAGTGTAAGCATAGAGTCTTGTTAGTTTTGTCAGAGTACTTTGCACTTGAAAGGTGCAAATCAAATGCCATAACTACGGACACTAATTGGCAACTGACTAAGTGGGAACTGGATAGTTTGAGTATCATCGCACATTTTTCTAAGGCGTCATCGATGGTAAATTCGAGAAGGAATAATGAGGTTTGGAAACCCTGCTGCTCGAATGGGGCGCAAACTTTGCACAACTTCATTAGGTAAAAGCTTGTGTATATCGTCAAACTCTCGGTTAGCCGGAGTAGACTGACGTTCCTCAACAAGTTGTAAAGTGCCTTCAGAAACCCACTACTTATAAGCGGGAAGTTTTGCGAAGCTGTAGGCGACTTTACTCGTCGCTTCCATAATGACATGCATATGCAGAGTAGGGAGAGTCCGCTCTCCCTCTCGAAATGCTCTCACATGGCCACACCTATATAGCCCCTACCAGCGAAATCCTACTCACTGCCTTCTCGTGGCGGGGGTGTTGTTTACGAAAATGAGAGGACGAAAAGCGAATGTCTGGAGCTTTAACCGGATCCCAAACCAATGGTGCACATGGGCTCCAGTATCCTGAGGGAACAAATGGCGTATGAAGCAATCGTTGGTCACCGGCTACCATGGGACTGCATCTCCTTACGATGCTCCACTGCCTTGTGGACTAGACCTTTAGGTCAAAGGCTCCGGGTGTGGTCCGCTAATAAAACCACCTGCTTCGGTTTGGGCACCCGAGCAGTATCACAGCCTATACACAAATTAAATGAGATTTGTGTGGCGCATATATATTTGGTGCCTCCTTGTACCAATATCTGTGTGTTAAAATAAATATAATAATAAACTTAGGTGGGTTGATAGTCAGCTTTGAACCTAGCCCGGTTTGATATTTAGTTGCAACGGAAGCTGCAACCAATTCGCTGACATCCATCCGTTTAGGGCGGTAGATTTGTTGGCCACTGAAACGTGAGATAAGATTAACTCAAACAAGGGCATAAACAGAGCCCAGATAAGTAATCCAAAAGGAGCGACAGTGTTGTACACAGCCGCACCAATGGTAGCCGATCGTGATGTGATCAATCTGAGTCCATGTTTGAAATTCGGAGGGAGGACGTCAGGTAGCACAACTACAAAAATTGCCAATGGTTATTGCCAACCAGAAATAGGCTAACCTTCAAAACTGTGTTTACTTGGTTAAAAGTCGTGTCATTTTTATTATGAAGAGTTCAATCTACACTAAATAAAACTAATAAGGAAACCAACTGTTAATAAGTTTCAAAGTATCTGCACCTAAAATCGTTAAGTTATCATTCCAATCCACTGCATATCTGCTTAGCATTCACTTTTTGGTAGACGATTGGAATAATTATTGATCTTATTCCTTTTTACAGATATATGCTTTGTATGATGGTTGTGTTCTTGGATCACTACTCACAAACGTTTCTGGTGGGCTGTTAAGCCTTTGTCCTTCACCTGACAACAATGGAAATCTATTTTGTGGTGGGAATGATGGTTTACTATACACTGCTTATATACAATCTCACAGGGTAAGATACGTAACTATCGATCCGTTGTCAGAACTAGTATTTCCTCACATCGTTTTTTTCAATAATTTTCGGGCTACTTGTGAGTAATATAAATCATTTTACTGAAATGTAGTAAGTAATTTCATGGGTATCTAAAGCCATATTAATACATTACATTGACGGGTAAAATTTTGTTCATATGTATTAGATTATGTCGTCCTTCTCAAGGCATCAGTTCTGCGATTCGGTCTCTGCAATTGATCTCTAGCTTTAGTCGATATTTGTCATTTTCCAGGTTTACAATAAGTATTGCCTCAGCTTGTCTTGGGATTTATTCTGATAATAGAAATACGATGATAATGAGTTTTTCTTGTAAATAACTTGTAATTTATGAAGATATGTGCAAGATAATTTTATTTCTCAAAAAGCCCAACAAAAGTTTTCCTACATCTTTTAGTTTTGGCTATCCAGGCCCCCAAATGCCCTGGTACCGCCGAGAGTGGGGAGAGTCCGCTCTCCCTCTCGAAATGCTCTCACATGGCCACACCTATATAGCCCCTACCAGCGAAATCCTACTCACTGCCTTCTCGTGGCGGGGGTGTTGTTTACGAAAATGAGAGGACGAAAAGCGAATGTCTGGAGCTTTAACCGGATCCCAAACCAATGGTGCACATGGGCTCCAGTATCCTGAGGGAACAAATGGCGTATGAAGCAATCGTTGGTCACCGGCTACCATGGGACTGCATCTCCTTACGATGCTCCACTGCCTTGTGGACTAGACCTTTAGGTCAAAGGCTCCGGGTGTGGTCCGCTAATAAAACCACCTGCTTCGGTTTGGGCACCCGAGCAGTATCACAGCCTATACACAAATTAAATGAGATTTGTGTGGCGCATATATATTTGGTGCCTCCTTGTACCAATATCTGTGTGTTAAAATAAATAAAAATAAATAAATCCAGGCCTTGTACAAGTACATTCTGTTATTTATACCTAACTAAGTATTCCTAACGTTACGTTGTTCTGTGGTCGTTCATTCAGCTAATGCAGTTTTGGCCTTAACTTTAAACTGTAGATAAACTGGCTCATAACTTCACTAGTTGACACGGTTTCGCAGTTACTAACGGTGGTATTACGTCAGGTTTTACATCTTGATTACATTCAATGTAAGACTTATATGCATTTGTTTTCTTGATAGACTTACGATCAGTAGGATTTAATCCCAGCTGATTTATGGTTCTAAGTAGTGAATGACTTGCCTTTCTAATGTTTCTTTTCTTATTAGGGTTGCTATTCCTCAGATAAGGAAATACACCGTTGTTTCTCTGACTCCAAGTAAGCGTTTTTTTTCTACACAAATTAATTCATGTTAATATATCTTAGTATTTTTAATATCTCGTGAAATCATCAGATGCAAAACTTTATATCATGTGATGCTTGTTTAGATAGTCTTTCTCTTTTAGAATATGAATCATTAACTGGACTACATGAACTTGTAGTTATTGGGTCAAAAGTCTGAATCCAGTTTACTTAAATTTGTTTAGATAGTTGGTGAAGCACGTCATAATACATCAAGTGTGGATTGTAACTTAGTACATATGCATGTATATAGTTTTTAAATCACATATTTACTTTTTTTTCGTTTTCTGGTCATTGCAATAATACTTTCTTTGTGTTCATGCCAATGTAAAGCATATACATTTAGTAAAGTTGTGTGCTTGTACTCGTTGTTAGATGGGAAAAGGTGATTAACAGTGAGTTCATGAACTGAGTTTTGTGTAAATTTGTAGTCTTCAGAAGAGTTCGTCGGTAGAAAGTATAATGCTGCTCTGTTGCCAAAGAACTTACCGTAGAACTGAAATCTGAGTAAGTGGTAGCTGGATAGTAATCACCAATATCTCCTAGTCACTTATAAGCACGTATCCTAATATACGTCACCAAATTTTTAATTTATAGCCTTTTAGGTTATATATTCCTTACTTATTTCGATTAATTTTAAGTTCATTAAAATAATTCTATTTTCAAAAAGTTTGCATTGTAATGACAATTGCTACACCTAATATTTGCATAACTTAGAAAGTGGTTTTATTTTTTTTAACTGATACGACATAGTAGTTTTTTAGTGTTAAATGATCGCCGAACGCTAATCAATATAGTTTTCTTTAAAAATACCAGCTCGAGTTGCCATCCTTTACAGCAGAAAAAAGTCAAACGGAGGACTTTAAAATAACAGAAACTCATGTAGATTGAGAATAGAAAAGAATCAACCAGTTGTAAAATGTTCTGCTCGATTATATTTCAATAGACAGTCATGTGTGCACCGAACAACTAAACGAGACAGTGAAGGGTCTGGAAAACAAGGAGACACGCAATCTCTTACCCTCCCACTGATTGCAGTTTGGATGAAATAGAAAATTGATTTTATGTAGGCTCCCTGTCCTTCAAAAAGCTGAATGCTCAAAGGTAATAATAGTGGTTGATGACTTAATGTCCAACCAGGTAGTCTAGACCAAACTGAAAGGCACTTAGGTTGGTCTTACGGTATTTCTTGACTCATCTGGTAGTTAACAGCGACAAACTGCTGCAAATTTCCTCAGATTACCGTTCATTTCTAGCAATCACTAACTTCAAGCATAAGAAAAAATATTGTCTGACATGGCAACCCAACAGCGGAATTAACTAGATTACATTGCCATCAACCATCGTTCAAAAGGCTATGTCAAAAACTATCACTCGTTTTGGAGCAAATATTTGAACTCTGATCATGCTTACTTATCGGGAATCGATCTTTCAGGAGGTTCTTGTTGATTTACAGTATGCAGATAATATAGTTCTGTCCGATGAAGACCATGAAAAAGTAGTCATCTGACTACCTTAAGCAACAATGCAAGCATGTTCAAGATTCGATTCTGTCTCCAAACACAAAAAATTGCTTCAGGAGTTGCCTGTGTTGAGGATAAGGAGTGAAGTAGTTAACTGTATCGACCTCCTAATTTATCTTTAGATTTTCATTAGTCCTGATGCTCTGTTGTCCGACGAAACCTCGTTTGGGACTAAGAAAGCTCGACTGGATTCTGCCAACCTATGTCACTTGTGGCATAGGCGAGATATCCGTCTTCCCACCAAACGATGACTTTACTGCACAACAGTTCTCTCCATTCTACTTTGTGGATGTGTAACATGGTTGTTAACTATAGAGGATATTCGTAGGTTACTAGTATTCGATCATGGGTGTCTTCAAAGCGTCGCTTGTGTATTTTGGGATCACCAAGTGAGCGACTGGATGGTTTTTGTACTTAACATTATATATTTTCCAGTTGCTTTTGCTACATATTTGCCCGACCGTAGCTGCTACCTTGACGTGGTGGTCGGGCTTGCCTATCGTGATGACCCAACCGAGCTATATTGGCAGGAACACATGATCCTGCAGGTTCTACCATGCCAGGCAGGTCGATTGGAGAACGGTAAGACTAAAAGCAGCAACTCAAGGTCTGAGGGCGAAGTCGTACTATTATTATTATTATTATTATTATTATTATTATTATTATTATTATTATTATTATTTGAACACATAAATATTGGTACAGGGGGGCACCAGATATATATGCGCCACACAAAACAATGATAATTTGAAGAGAAGGAGAAAAGAGAAAATAAAGTAATGAACGTGGGGAATTATAAAAAAAGGGAGAGAGAGAACAATGGTGGGGGAAACGGAAAGGTACAATCAGAAGAAATCTTTCAGTTAAGGAAGATACAACCACTTTTTATGAAGAAAGTAAAAGAAGGTTACAGCAGGATCGCCACTGGCTTCTATTCTGAGCCATATCTGATAACGTCTCTAGCCACTGCGTTACACCATCTCTCGGACCCCAACCAGGGAGTCGTGAAGGACCAACAGAAGCCATCCCTTTGCAGCTTTCTTTCATACCACGACACCATGTCATATACTGACCACCTCTCCGCTTTTTCCAACCAGTCCGAGAGACGGCAAATAATGCACGATGAGGAATTCTCTGGGACGACATTCGTAGAACATGTCCAAGCCACCGAAGTCGGTGTTTCAAGATGGTGACATCAATTTCATTATCGTCTCTGTGCCCGAACACTCGATGCCGAACCTCTGCATTACTGACATGGTGTTGCCACTGGATGCCAGCAATCCTTCGGAGACAACGATGATCGAACACAGAGAGTCGTCTAACATCCTCAACTCGGAGAGGTCAGGTTTCACAAGCATAGAGCAAAACTGCTCTCACCGTCGCGTTGTAGATCCGACCTTTTACAGCCAGACTAACATCACGAAGGCGCCAAAGATGGCCCAGATTGGCATAAGCCGCTCTGGCTTTCACTATGCGTGAATTGATCTCATCACTCACACCACCACCAGCACTTATGCAGCTACCTAGATACACGAACTTCTCGACTACTTCAATCTGCTCACCATCCAGAGTGAGTACAGGATTAGAATCCTGCCAGTTTAGTAGAAGTACTTTGCACTTCGAAGGTGCAAAACACATATCATACCTACGGACACTGATTGCCAACTGATTAAGTGCGGATTGCATGGCTTGGGCATTCTCGCACAGTAAGACAATATCATCCGCATACTCTAGGTCGAGAAGTCTTTCTCCAGGCAACAGATCCACACCACCATTACTTGCATCCATCAGAGCTGTTTCCAGAATGTCATCGATGGCAAAGTTGAAGAGGAATGGTGAGATTGGGCAACCCTGCCTAACCCCACTACTGGAATGGAATAGTGGATAAAGGTGGTTGTATGCCCTCACTCTGCCTGAGGTGTTTGTGTATAGGGCTTTTAGGATGTTAATAAACTTCTCAGGCACACCCTTCTTCAATAGACAATCCCAGAGAACAGTTCTGTCCAACGAATCGAAGGCAGCCCTGATGCTAAGAAACACTACGATTGTTGGCCTTTGATAAGTATGGCGGTGTTCTAACATTTGGCGGAGGGTGAAGATATGATCAATACATCCTCGACCAGAACGAAACCCAGCCTGCTCCTCGCGAGTCAATCGTTCTCGGGTTTTGAACAACCTACGAAGTATAACGGAAGCCAGCAGTTTGGACGCAATCGGAAGTAGACTTATCACCGATAGTTGTTACAGGAACAACGTGAACCCTTTTTAAAGATAGGGACAACTATCGACTCATTCCATGACGTTGGTACACTCTCTAGTTCCCAGATCTTTGTAAGCAACGTCGTCAGTCCCTTAGTCAGAAAGTCACCACCATCTTTAAAAAGAGCCGGAGGTAAGTCGTCTGAGCCCGGTGATTTGTAACGTTTCAAGAGTTGGAGTTCCTTGCGGACTTCCGCCTCATTTGGTGGATCAGTCGTCACCGTCCATGGAGGGCAGGACAGTCTGACCGATGTTGCCGGAGCAGCAGGCCAGTTGAACTGCCCTTCAAAGAATTCTGCCCATCGTCCAAGACGTCGATGGATGTTAGTGATTGGCGTTCCGTCATCCTCTCAGATTGTTTCGCTCACACCAGACTTCTTGCTGCCAGTGGCTCGGATGAGTTGGAAGAGCTTCCGGTAATTACCAGATGCAGCTGCTGCTTCCAGCTCATTAGCGCGCACCGACCACCAGGTTTCTCGGTCCTCACGCAAGCTTTGCCCGATTTCAGTAAGTAAAACCCTTCGCTTGTGGTCAAACTCACGGTCACCCGGAGTAGACCGACGGGCTTCAATCAGTTGTAAGGAACCAGAAGAAACCCAGTGCTTGTAAGCGGGACGTTTCGCAAACCCACAACTGACTTGACCCGCCATTTTCATGGCGTCATGCAATTGCAACCAATGCTTATCTATACTTTTCGGTGGAGTGGTAGCTAGCCTAGAAGCTAGCTCGGTTCGGTACTTACTAGCAACAGAAGTTGCAGCCAGTTTGCTAACATCAATCCTGTGGTGGCGGTCACTTCGTTGTCCACTGAAAAGTAAGGTAAGATTGGCGCAGACCAGGGCATGATCAGATTCCAGATAGGTACTCCAAAAGGAGCGGCAGTGTTGTACACAACCGCGCCAGTGGTAGCTGATCGCGATGTGATCAATCTGAGTCCAGGCTTGAGATACAGAAGGGGGACGTCAAGTGGCACATCGGCGGTGACTGTGCCGAAAGTTGGTGCTAGCCAGAAACAGGTTGTGCAAAGTTGCAGTAGACGTTCCCCGTTATCTGTCCTGCGACCAACAAGTCCCCATCGGCCACCTAAACGACTCTTCTGTGCCTAGACGCCCGACCTGAGCATTCAAGTCTCCAGCTAGTACTACAATATCTGTCGAACGCACTTTCTGGAGAAGAACAGTTAGCTGGTGGTAG